AACGTAAATATGCTATAAGCATGTATGCTGTCAGTTAAATCTTGTGCAAAATTTAATTTTTGTCAATTACAACGTAATTTTGTTTTTTCCGGATATTTTTTCATTAAAAACAATCTGTTAATTTTTTATGTTTATCGATAATACAAAAAAATAAACTTTTTAATATTGCAAGCTTTGAATAAATTTCAAGACAAACCGTTGTTCAATTATAAGTCAATTAATTTAAGCTAACCCTTTGGTAAAATTTTTGGAATGCTTTAACAAAAGAAAATTTTGACTTTCCTTCCAAATATTAAAAATTTTTGCATATGCCGCTTTAAAATCTCTTTACTTATATTTTTTCGTGCTTTGAGCTTTAAAAAAGATTATAATATTATGCGGAATATTCCACCTTCCTTTTAGATGTTATTTAAGGATAAAAGAAAAATTTTACTGAAAACAATCTTTACCCCCAAGTGAACTTCCAACTTCAATACAGAAATCTGTAAAATATTTTTAACGAAAACTTTGACAAGTTTTTTTTTTAGCATTTATGTCTGCAATTTTATAAATTTCACTTCATTTAAAAGTATAAAAACGCGTATTCATACTTCGAAACCTTATGCGAAAGAATTTCATAAAAACTTTTCAAGACAAACAATGTTCATGACTGCTGATGTAAGTATTTAAATTTATATATGTTAGGGAACCGTTCATACATCTGCATGTACATATTAAAAGGCACGATGTAAATACGAATGCATGCGTAAGTTAATAAACACTAAAGTTCAAAAGTCTAATATTGAAATAAAAAAAGGAAAGTTAAATATAAAATATGAAATTTAAAAATTTGGCTGATTTTTTTTTCATTTTTCATCTTAGTTTACAAAAAATTAATAAACTTCATCTTATGATACATAAAACTCAAATTTTTTGCTAGAATAAACTTTATTTCCTGTTTGAATATTTGATGGGGTTCCATAAGTACCAATGGTATTTTAAAATGGTATGTTCAACACAGAACCGTATACGATTACAATCGGTATTTTCTGAATAAATTATTAACAGTATCCTTTTGAACGTAGTGCATAAAATAAGTTAAGATCATAACGTATGCTATTTCTGTTAGACTGTTTCTTAAATTAATAAGACTTTAATTTATTGATTTATTGTAAATTACTTGTAGGTTGGTACGACGAGGAAAAATGGCTTGATTCTATATTTTAAAAAATTTTTGACAGTTTGACATCAAAATTGAAAGTATTGATATAACGGAGAGAATGAATCTTAATCTTTTAAAACAAATTTGAAAAAAGGAATATTACTTAAAAACTTTCACTTTCATCCGGTAGTAAATGTCCCTGTTTATAACGCTTCCGTAGAATATTGCAACTTATTCGAAGTATTTTGTCACTAAGAGGTTAGGATATTTATCGTAAAATTTCAAAAAAAATTACTTATAGACATGGATCTTTGCGGGAAAGCTATTTATTTACAAGAATATTTTGTCTTCTCTCCCCTTCACCCCACCACTCCAAACCCAATTTTTTTATATCTCTTCCCTTCTAAGTAATCGTTTGACAAAATTAGTAAAATTTCAATTTTGCTTTTTATATTTCCGAATTTTCAAGCTTTCTCTCATTTCTATAACACCAAAATAGTAACGGTAAACGTCTATATCTAAATAATCACAAAATATTAGTATTTACTTTAAGTTACGTAATTAACCACCGAATTTAATGTTTCTAATTTTGGTTTTTTTTCTAATTTTTTAAATTATATAATTTTGCCACATAAATTAAATAACATGATGTAGTACTGCAATATTTGAATTATTGATGATTATTGTAAATTATTATTTTAAAGAAATTTTTAAATTTGTTCAAATATTGTTCAAGGAAAAAGTGGCATATTTTGTAAACCATTGGTTCGATGCAAATTCATTGATACGTATGATTTGAAAAGTACACTCTACTGTGTGTGTATAGACATTATGTAAAAGCTGTGATAGATATTGAAATCAAAGCCACCTTTTGAATTCATGTTCCTTTTCAATCATTTCGCATAGAAAAAATAAAGAAAATCGAATAGGTACATAATTAAAACACTTTAGAAAAAATAGAATGTGAAAAAAAAACATTGTTAAAAACAAATAGGAAAACAAGTATTGTAGTTGAAGTTGGTATGCATATATGCATGGGTTATTAAAGCAGAGAAAGCAAACAATTTTTAAAAATAAGAACGTACAAAATGCGATTTCCTAAAATATAAATTTTATTAATTTAGTTACAATCCGAATCAATCTAGATGGAGCAGAAGCAATAGATTGACATAATTACATGCATGTGTACGTATACATCAATCGGAATATTTGCACGCCTAAGTAATAATATTGCTATACCATTTGGAGTTTCTATGTTTACCAAAATTTTTTCAATGCTAAATTCTACATTGTAATATCGTTAAAATTCTTTTAGAAATTTAAATCTAGCAAAATTCCTAAAAAATTTAGGCAGTTCGGGCAGCAAATTCGAGATTTTCTTTTTTATTCATACTTGATTACATAGAAATGATTGAGTGCGATATAGACTGAACGACATTCTTTTTATATTCAACATAGTCTGGCAATAAATTATGATTGTAACTTAGGAATACTAAAAACCTAAGATTGCAAAAATCTATGCATGCGATAGGATCTCCGACGACGAACGAAAAAGCAGATAAGTCCCTAGTCTGTTGAAATAAATTATTTGCTACAATGTGTAACGATTTTTTAATCGTCCAAAAGTTGCAATTGCATCTGCAACTCAAATAATATAATAAAAGTATCCTAAATACTCTTTTAATATTCTCAAACACAAATTACACTTCGGAAATTCTTTTGTAATACCCAATATTGCTGTAATTGCATATTTTCTTACATACATAACAGTAATCAAGAAAATAATAATTATTTTACAAGCTATTCTTACAATCATCCATAAAACCAATATAGTTACCAAAACGGACTGTCAATGATATGAAATAACCTAAGAATATAATTTTCCCTTTTTTTTGTTTTGGTTTGAGAAGAAAAATAAATTGAAAAATACAAAAATATTTTCATCGATGAATGCAATTGAGTTTTAGATTTTATATTAGAATTGGTTAAAGTTTTCTTTATCCAGCATTTATTTTTGTTGTAAGTGTAGTTACTAATTTAATACAATGAATGAGAACGAGACTGTAAAAAAGAATACTTTGGAGCAATACTTGTGGATAAAGTAATAATTTTTGCTGCATTGAATTCTATTTTAACAATATTTTAACAAATATGTGCTTAAGTTTGTATGTGTATTGAATATAATGAAAGTTTTATAAATAAATAATGAAAGAATGGATTTCATTGAAAAAGTGCAAGAATAAAACATAAATGTAAAATAAAAAACTGATGGGATCAGCACATAACTGAGCGCATTACGTACTTTCGGAAAAATATATTTAAAAATTCTCTAATTTATTGTTATTAACCCAGTGAAAGAGTAATACAAGTAGGTGAGAGTGCTTTTAATAACCTAGTTTTGAATTCATAGAAAGTTTTAGAAACATATATTATTTGAAAAAGGTCTAGAATTAAAAAATTTAGCGATCGTAGAGCTTCATATTTTAGAGTCAGATTTTAACAAGAACAGAATTAAATTTTTAGGGATATTTGTTTGTAATATTGTTTTAGAATATGTTACGAATGTGAAAGGTTATCCCAGTACAGGTGCTGTTAAATAAATCTTATAAACTTCCAGTCAGTTCTTTTGCAAAAACTTTCTCTTATTATTTCTGTTAAGCAGTTCTCTATTATTTCTGTCAACAATTCAAAATGTTAAATTTGATACAGTAAAAGTACTTCCCTTTTTGCATCCAATATGATTGGTAAAGAGAATGGAAAAATGAAAATTTATTGATCATATATAGAAGATTATCTGAAGTAAAAGATATTTCATATTGTTGTGATTTCTAAAACACTTTTAGTTATCATTCATTATTGATATTTGAATACAAGGAATTCTTAGCATTTTTACTATGAATTGAGAATTCCTTTTTGTGCTATGTAAAATAAATGTATATGAGGAAGAAATTTAATATGTATAGAAAATGAATAAAGGACTCTAGAAATTTTCTATTCGCTTTAAGAATAACACGACTTTAAACACAATAATTATACATTGTATGTGTTGACAATTCTATGACTTTTTCTTTCTTTTCCAATATTTTCGGTTGCATTGATTCACTGTAATTATTTTAGAAAAGGTAGGTACTTTTAATTGTAGTGCTAATAATATTTTATATTAAACAATAGTTTCAAGTACCAAGAGTTTATATCTGTTTTAATTTTCAAATCAAATGAGAAAATTTCATTTTTCAATTTTGCTTTGTTTTTAATTAAAAAAGTATCAAAGTTAACTAATTTTTATCCTCTTTAATATTATTATTTAATATTGACCCCTTTACAAAAAAAGTTAACATAAGTATAGAAATTTTAACGGAAATGTATTTTTTCATTGAAAATGAACTGCTGTTAAAGAGATTCCGGTATGTCTGCCTGATATACTCTTTGGTTTGCACAATATAGACAAATTATATTGGACAAAAGGATTCCTAAAACAGTATTAAACAGAATTATTAATCATTTTATGGAACTCGTTTATGCGAAATTTGAACACTTCAGTCTTCATTTGAAATTTATCCAAATTTTGCAATTTCGTGACGAACTTATATTATCAAGACCAAATTTCATTGAAATATTGAAACTTCTATCAATTTTTTTTTAACGACATTCGAACCGTTAAAATTTTTTCTAACTTATGTGTCGCAACTATTTGTGTTTTAGTTAATTTTTTTTTATTTTATCTTTCAATTTAAGCACTCTTCCAAAAAAATTTTGAAACAAAACATCCTTATTAGTTTCGCTCTGCCCGTCCGTCCATCCGCCCGTAGACATGTTCACAAAACTTCTACACTCTTGAATATAGAAACAATATTTTTACCTATTTGCCGACCTCTAAAGAGTATAGCACCACAATGTCCTAAAAATGCCATTTTTTTGGTATAATTGTTGTAGCAAAACCAGAAAAATTGCTCAAATTCTGCAAACGCAGAGAAGTAGGTGCTTTCCTTCTACCGCGTCATACTATATTTTAACTTAAAAAAAAACAAAATGAACCTTGAAATTTAGCGTTATCCAAAACTAGTTTCTTCTAAATTTTTGATATCGTTTTTCTTCTAGACTTCGGGTTATAGGAGTCTGAAAATTTAGTAGCTTCTAAATATTCGCAAATAGTTCATTTTGTTAGAAGAAATTTTTTTTTTAATTCAACCCGCCTTTCAAGTTATCGCCTCACCAAATTCATAAAATTTCAGTTTTTGACGCCTTATATTTCCAAAACTGTATGCTTTTCTAAATCTCTATGAATGCATAAAGCTAACGGCGAATTCTATGTCATTAAAAAATATAACTATGTTTTTTAATTCACGCATTTAACTCTTAAGTTCAAGCTTAATGTTAATGCATCATAAAATATTTTTTCTATTTTATTTCAAAGATGGCATACATTACTTTCCCAAAGGTATGCAATTTTTGAAATATATTCGAATATGAATAAAATTAATTTTAATAATGTAGTGCATACATAGATTGTTTCTAGTTAAACAGTTAGTTTCTAGTTATTTTCACTTGTTGAAAGTAAGAGTTCTATATTAAAAACCATTGGTTTGACCCAACTTTATTTGCAGTAAATTATTGCTAACTTTTATCCTCCAACCGTCTATTTTAACCTCCAAATTCTTTCATTTTCGACGGATCCCTTACCCCACTTCAACATCATTTCTATGATTGAATTTTTGGCCTTAAATAATTTTTGTGCATTAATAGTATTTGTAAGAAATAGGAGTAAAACGCAATGCTTTCATATTTTTATTTCGTAAATATATTGATGCAATTTAGTAATAAAATTTAAATTTCGTTCTAAAATCTTTAATTATGAGTATGAAAATAAAAAATATCTTATTGGTAAAGAAATTAAATACATAAATTGAATGTAATTCAAATATAAAAAAATATCTATTTCATTTTGAGTTTTGAAATAATTTTACTCTATTTAAAATTTCTTACATCTACCATCATTACACAAAATATTTTTTATTGAAAAATATGAAGTACACTTTTGATTTATTTTTCATTTAAACAATCCTTCAAATGAAAAAATAAGCAGAAATCTACATTTTTTACTTTAACATTTTTCAATATTATATTTTATATCACAATACGTACTTTAGTTCGCTCCATTTTGTACAGGAATATATACATATACATACAAAGGTACACTAATATTCTGTGGCACAATCTACAATCTACGTACATACATACGAGTACGTAAGCAGATATACGAACGTATATAAGTATGCATGCATATTTATTTATCGATTTATACATAATCAAAACACTTTAACATAATATCCTTGAAATAAAAATAAATAAACTGAATACGCAAAATGAAAAAAAAAACAAAAATTTAAATAAATATAAAAAAGATGAAAATGTATCATCAATGTAAAAGTACTGAAATTTTGGTTAACACACACACACTCATTCGAACATAATATTCATGTAGGTACATAATATGCACACTTAAAAAATCGTCATTGAAATGCTATCAACATTTTCAAAAAAAAAAAAGAAAACTTAAGTTTTAGACCGGAAAGAAAGTTTTACAAGATTTAAATAAATATATTTAAAAATATATTATACATTATGTACGTACGAATGTATTTTGTTTAAAGTAAAAGTAAACATTTAAAAATATTTATATGAGAACCAAAAAGAAAGGGAAAAATCTTTAAAACCTTTAAAAATTTACGGTCTTTCATGAACAAATAAACAAAATGTTATAAAAGTGTTCATCACATACATATGTACATGTATGTATGTAGATATGCACTTTTACTCTGTTGACAAATATGGGAATGGTAAAAATCGTATTCTAAATTCGATTTTCTCAAACTGGAACTGGAATATGTTTTACCTTGAATATAAACCGATGTAAAAAGGATAATAAACTTTTTCCGAGGACTTTCTAAATAAATGAATTCAAAAAAATTATATAAAAGAAATAATAAAATCAAAAACAAAAGAATTTTTTGAAAAGAAAATCATGAATGAAACAATAAAAATATTACCATCAAAGAAGTAGAAAATGACAATTCAGCAATAAAACAATTTGTGTAAAGGTAATGATAGACCGCATATTATCAGAAATATTGCGTAAGTATATGAGTTGTAAGTGTTTTCGATTAAATTAAAAATAAGCATAAGGACAAAATTTAAAAAGCTCAGATGTCGTAGGATCAATTTTTAAATATTTTATTAAACTGAACAAAAGTTGTGAAACTTTTCGAGAATTCTTCAAGCATCTACCGCAAAACTATATTTACATAAGTTAAATAAGACATGTGTTGTGATCTAGAATCTTGCAAGATTAATTTCCCTGAAAAACCTCTAAAAAATTATTCCTGAACTGAACAAGAATTTAATAGGAATTTTGAATTTTGTAAATATTGTTATGAAGGCGAAATAATATCGGAAGTTTGGCAGCAATTATTATCCGATTCTTGTTTTAAAAAATTTCCTATTTTGTAAAAAAAATTTTTAGAAACACTAATTCTTTATAAATCAAATACATACATACCTGCTAACATATAAGCATATAAAAAGCATCGACAATTATTAAAATAGTATTGAATTTGAATTAAATGTGTAGAGCTTGTAATGTATACCTGTCCATTTTAATATGCATAATTATAATATCGTATACATACAATAACGTTATTTAAAATAAATTTTTAAAATACTTTTTGTATGGTAGATTAAAGGTAGATTTTCTTTTGAGCACTTTATTTGGATTTGCCATAATATCAATATTTTTATCAGCTTAAATAAAAAAAATATAAAAGAATAAAAAAGAAAAAAATGCTTACTGCTAGTAAAAATATCAAAACAAATGGAAAAATTTACAATTCAGCTTTCTCCTGTATCCTTCATTTTCTTTATTTTTCATACATTTTCATAATAAACATTGCCAATTTTCATTGTTCCCTCAACACTAGTTTAATTCAGTTCTTGGTTTCTCATTCGTATAGTGCTCAAATATTGTTGTGTAGGTGTACATTTGTAGATGTTTTTACTTAAAAAAAAATTGTACATAGCTATCATAACATGTGTATAACATCACATTCCATACATCCTATGCTTCCAAAATAAATATCACAAAAACTCGCATGGTTAAATAAAAAAATTTGATGTGATCAACACATAATCGACTATACATTTAATCTGAATTTCATTCTTAGAAGAAAAATATTTTATGGAATCGGATTTTTCAGAAAAGTTATTTTCGTTGCTATGTACACAATAGCTGGAGAGAAATTTTACAATTCTAAAATTTCACATAAGTATTTTGAATTTTATTTTTTATTTTGTTAAAACAAAGCTCATATATATTACGGGAAATTACATTAAATAGTAACCGAGGTACAGTTACTGAAACCTGATAATTAAAAAAATCGTTTCATCACATCTACTACACAGGTCCACGCTCATAAATAAGCTCATAATACAAAATTAGGAAAGTTATTAATCTCTTTAATTTTCTTCCACTGATTTAATGTTTTTTATGGTGATACGTATTCGTACCTAATTATTTATACTTGTTTAAAGTCCGATTATTCTTTACAATAGCAGTGAATAGAAAAATGTTTACAAGGGTGACAGAAAATTCATCTTACAAAGCATAATACATATGCACATACACAAATATATGGACATAATATCCTTTTGCGTATTGTTGCGGTAAAGAACCCACTTTTATAGGTAAGTATAATAACAATTTCTCTCATAATGGCATATTGTTAGTTTAATCACTAAACGGACATAGCGAAATTCAGCAGCACATATTCTCAGATCTATGAAGTTGGCATATCATTAAGTAGAAACGCGAAGAAAAAATGAGAGGCGAAAATTCTGACTTTCTCTCAAAGAGTTCGGTAATTTGCTATAGATTAAATAAATATTTATGACTTACAAACCACCAAAAACATTATTCCAATATTGAGACTTATTCGACTTTTGTTCCAATGTTTTGTTTTAGAAAAGTATAGTTATAATTGGAAAATAACCCTAATTTTATTTCTATGATATATGTATGTCATGGGGGCCTTAACGTTTTAAACTCTAAAGAGTTCTAGCCCTTGGATATGTCCGTAGTTTAGAGAAATAAAACTGTCTAAAATTGAAGTTTAATATAAATGAAAGTGAAATGACCAGAAAAAAATAAATAAATATGTTTTTGCAAAGGGTATTGATTTTTATAGATTAAATAAGTATGCCCATAGAAATTAAAAAAGATGTTTGACAAAAATATTTTGATATCTGAAATTATTGTAATTAACTTGGTAATCTCTACAGGAAAAATTAAAATATTACAGATACAATTACTGGAGCGTTTATATAATACTTATGTATACTTATATCCATTGAACTTATTGAGTTGTCTTTATTTACCTACCTATAAATGACCCAGTTCATAGATTATTCTCATCTAATAATTACAAAACAACTTGAAAAATCATTGCTCATGGAGCTTAAAGTAACTGGATAATTAATGTTTTACGAGATTCTCTGATTAGAATTAAAACAATAATTGGCTTCGTTAGTTAATCTTATCGAATTTATTGAATTTTATCAATCTTACAAGAAGCTGGATCTAAAAGTTTTATTAATGTTTAAAAATTTATTGAAAAATTGTTTGGATGTGAGTGGAACAGTGTTCTTGCTATCCTATTATACATTTTTGGATAATAACAGCTTTCCAACAATAATAATTTTCATAATAAAGTGCAAGACCAAATATTCATTGAAAGGAAACAAAATTTCTTGTAGAATTCTGAAATTATAGGAAAAACCCTTTTTAGCACTTTTCCAAAAAAATTTTGAAAAAAAGTGCTTATTAGTTTCACTCTGTCCGTCCATCCCCCTTTCCGAGTGA